ACAGGCCGCCCCGAACCCCAGCCTGGCGGGCAGGAAGGGCGCCAGGGACCCGGAGCCGTCGGGGCTGGGCCCCACCCCTGCGGCCTCCCACCGCCCGCCAGCCCTGCTGCGCTCCCACGTGCAGGTTTTGTTTTGAATTGGGGTCTCAGGGAGCCCAGGCTGGCCTCGAACTCACCGTGCAGCCCGGGCTGCCCAGAACTCACCAGCTAGCCCAGGTTAGCTTTAAGTGGCCTTGCAGCCAAGGATGACCCAGCCCCTCCCCTCCGCACCCCTGCGAGCCGGCGGGGACGGGCTTGGCCGCCCCACGCAGCTGGCCCGCGCTTTTGTGCTCTTGTGTTTTTCCACAGCGTCCCACTCCGCAGCCAAGGCTGATCCCGAGCTCACTCGCTGAGATCCTCCTGCCTCGGCCTTCTCGCTAGGGTGCTGCGGTGTCAGGTGTTTCCCAAGACTCCGTGAGGACCGGGGGGGGGGGGGGGGGGGCCCCCCCCCCCCCCTGCCCCCCCAAGCCACTGCTGACGGCTGAGGAGGCTCCGGCCTGGCCCGGGCAAAGCTTCCCTCCAGGCCTGTCGGCTCCCCAGGCAGGGCTGTGGGGTCGGGGTGGGGCGGAGGCAGGGGGCAGGGGTGGGGGAGGGGAGGAGAGGGAGGGGTGGGAGGGGAGGGGGGAGGAGAGCAGGGAGGGGTGGGAGGGGGAGGGCCCCGCAGGTCTGTGGCCCGGAGCTGGTGGCCGCGCTGGGCCACGGCACCGACACCCACAGCTCAGATCCAGGCCCAGCCGCTTCTTCCTATGGCAGCCGCAGTGAGAGTCCAGTCCAGGGTGGCGGCCACATCCGCACTCCCCACACTCGGCCCAGACAGGGCTAGCCTGGGGTGACAGGGCTAGCCTGGGGTGACAGGCCTTGGCGACCCTGCTGCGGCCTCCAGCGCCTGGACCTCCTGCCCCGGGCCACCTCGCCCTCGTGGTCAGGGCCCCGCTCACCGACTGCAGCGGCTGGGCCCACCCAGCAATCTTTGTCTTTGTCCTGGAGAACGGGTCTCATGTCGCCGCTGAGGCTGAGGGTGACCTTGAACTTCCGACCCTCCCGTCTCTACCTCTTGGGCTGGGGTGACAGGCACGTGCTCAAGCCCCATTTGAGCAATGGCGGAACTAGGGATTCACAAACACCAGGGACGGCCTCCACCAACCGAGCTATAAGCACTCCACCAACCGAGCTA